TATGCGAGTGATTGTCCAGAAAAACGAAAGAATCAAGAAAGTGATGCAAAGCTTGCAAAACATGAAGAAGAAGAGATGATGCTGATGGTCACAACAAGAGATGAAGATAAATTCAAGGACCAATGGTACTTAGATTCAAGATGTTCATCACATATGTATGGAAGGAAAGACTGGTTCGTCAATATAAAACCCTCAATGAAAAATATGGTAAAATTTGCAAATGACAATACCCTAGCAGCTGAAGGTATTGGTGATGTTATGATTATGAGAAAAGATGGAAAAAGATCAGTAATTTCCAATGTATTGTACATACCAGGAATGAAGAGCAATTTGCTCAGTATAGGGAAGTTGGTCGAAAAGAATTATAAAGTGTCAATCGAAGATAAGATGATGAGAGTCGTTGATGCAAATGGGAGATTAATCTTGAAGGCTCCTATGTCTCAGAATCGAACTTTCAAGATTGAACTAAATGTGATGGAGCACAAGTGCCTTTCGACTGCAGCTAACAGAGATGAATGGATATGGAATTATATACTAGGCCATCTCAACTTCAGAGACATCAGAGATTTGAAGAGAAGAAATATGGTTTCAGGATTGCCAGAAATTGACATTCCAAACAAAGTATGTGAGGAATGTGTGCAGGTGAAGCAACACAAGAATAGCTTCAGCAAGGATGCAGGAAACAGATCGAAGGCTAGTCTTGAAGTCATATACTCTAATGTATGTGGACCAATCCAGGTGGATTCGATGAGAGATAACAAATACTTTGTTACATTCATAGATGATTTCATTCGAAAGCTATGGACTTATCTGATCAAGAAGAAAAGTGAAGTGATCGAAGTATTTACCAAGTTTAAGTCTATGGTCGAAAGACAAAGTGGTCGAAAGCTCAAAGTTTTGAAAACTGATGGTGGTGGAGAATATGTGTCGAAAGACTTCGACAGATTATGTGAAAAGGAAGGGATTGTGTATGAGGTGGTGCCACCCTATACTCCATAATAAAATGGAATTGCATAAAGGAAAAACTGAACCATCATGAATATGGTGAGAAGTATCTTGAAAGGCAAAAATTTGCCTAAAGAGTTTTAGAGTGAAGTTGTTTCGAATGCAACATACATTTTGAACAGATGTCCTACAAAGAAGCTAGAAGGAATTACTCCAGAAGAATGTTGGTCTGATGTGAAGCCTAGCTTCAGTCATCTGAAGGTATTTGGATCTATTGCACATAGACATGTGTCAGATCAGTTGAGAAGAAAACTTGATGATAAGTCAAGTCAAATGATTCTAGTTGGATATCATTCGACAAGAGGCTACAAGTTGTTCGATCCAATGAAAAAGAAGATTGTGATTAGCAGGGGCGTGATCATGGATGAGTTTAAAGAATGGGATTGGACTGATAATGTCAAGAAATATTCAGTTGGAATCCTTCTTGAAGAGCCAGAAACTCAAGTCGAAAGAGAAGTTCGACAAGAGGAACCAGCAAATATACCAAGTACAAGAAGGCCTCAAAGAACAAGACGCCTGCCTGCAAGATTGCAAGATTGTGTGATTACATCAGATGATGTAATAGATAATGAAGGTGAGTTGGTACATTATGCTTTCTATGCAGATGTCGAACCTATTAATGCAGGTGAAACATTGAAGGATTCGAAGTGGATGAAAGCAATGAACGAAGAAGTAAAGTCTATCGAAGACAATAACACTTGGTCACTTGTCGAATTGCCTCAAGACAAGAAGGAAATTGATGTCAAGTGGGTATACAAAGTGAAAACGAATTCGAAAGGTGAAGTAACTCGACACAAAGCAAGACTTGTGGCGAAAGCATTTCTACAGAAAGAAGGAATAGACTTCGATGAAGTTTTTGCACCTGTTGCTAGGATTGAAACAATCAAGTTGGTTGTTGGTCTAACATAAATAAACAGTTGGCACATATGTCAGATGGACATGAAGTGTGCATTCCTAAATGGACCCTTAGATGAAGAAGTCAATGTTAAACAATCAGTTGGGTTTGTGAAACATGACGAAGAAAGAAAGGTGTACAGGCTACATAAAGCCCTATATGGATTGAAACAAACTCCAAGGGCTTGGAATAAGAAGATTGATAGTTTTCTAAGGGAGAAGGAATTTGTGAAGTGCATAACTGAACATGGAGTATATGTAAGAAGAAGCAAGAGTAAATTGCTTATACTATGTCTCTATGTAGATGATTTGTTGATAACAGGTAGCTGTAAAAGTGAGATTGAAGACTTCAAAGGTGATCTCAGCAAAGAATTTGAAATGTCTGATTTGAGTGAGATTTCATATTTCCTTGATATCGAATTCTACAAGAGCAGTAGAGGTTTGATGATGCATCAAAGAAGTTATGCAGGAGAAATTCTCAAGAGGTTTGAGATGGAAGAATGCAACTCAACTTCGACACCTGCAGAACCAAGACTACAACTGTCGAAAGATGCAGATGAAGACGATGTTGATCCAACCCAATATAGAAGACTTATTGGATCATTGAGATACCTTTGTCATACAAGGTCTGACTTAGCATATAGTGTAGGTATGATAAGTAGATTCATGCAGAAGTCAAAGGTATCACATCTAGCAGCGGTGAAGAGGATACTAAGGTATCTCAAAGGAACTTTCGATTATGGCATTTTGTTTCCTGCAATTGATAAAGGAAAAGAATGCAAGTTAGTGGGATACACTGATTTGAGTTGGTGTAGTGATGCTGAAGATCGAAAGTCAACAGTAGGATATGTGTTTATGTTAGGTGGTGCACCAGTTGCTTGAAATTCAAGAAAGGAATCAGTAGTGACATTATCATCATGCGAAGCAGAATACATAGCTGCTTCTCTTTGTGCATGTCAAGCAACTTAGATGGTGAACTTGGTCAAAGAGATAACAGAGAAAGATTATGGAGCAATTACCATGAAGATCGACAGCATGTCAGCTATCAATCTGGCGAAGAACCCAATAGCACATGGTCGAATTAAGCACATCGAAATGAGGTTCCATTATCTTCGAGAGCAGGTAGCAGATGAGAAGATAAATTTGGAACACTACAGAACTGAAAATCAGATTGCAGACATCATGACGAAGGGAGTGCAAGTCGAAGTATTCAGAAAGCTAAGAGTCATGATGCACATAGATAGTTTAGACACAATGAATTAGGTGGTGTGTTAAATTGTAATCCAGTGTGTCGAAACTATGTGTCGAAAAGATTTGATTTATTTTAGATTTAAATAGATTTGATTTAAGTCTAGAATAAATTAGATTTGATTTAGTAACAAAAAGATATTTTAGACTTTGGGCTTAGGGTGTAAGCTCAGTTATAAATAGAGGGCGTAATCCCTATTTTTGTAAGCAAGTCAAGCAAATCATTCACAGTATTTTACAGTTACAAAGTGAATAAGAAAGTTTTCATAGTTTATGAGCAGAGAGAAATTCTACCGAAATTATTTGTCCTGTCTTCTTTTCTTCGTTTGTCTCATAATTAAATTGTCATTGTAGTAGAAATTCATCTTAGACTTTGATGGATTTCCAACATAAATGTGGAGAATGAGAGAAAAGAAAAATGAAATACATAGATAATTAAGGGGTGATAATATTTTCATTAACATTGACAACACATGCCACACTTAAATCAATCCACCCATGAATTAAATATTGTTTTTTATAGGAAGTTCAATAACAAACTATTTAAATTTTCTACTCAGTATATTTCAATTGGGTGTCCATTCCTCAAAGGCTATAAGCTTATGTTTTCAATCTCTACTCAATTAATGTGTATATGTATTTATTAATATCATTTTGAATAAATTTTAATCTAAATTTTATAATTATTACAATTATGTTATATTTATCAGTCTTTCTTTTTAACTTTAATTTTCTTAAAATCTTTACAAATAAAATTGACTAAAAATATGATAAATCTTATTAGAAATAAAGTGGAGAAGCTAATTGTAAGCTATGGAAACTAGTTTGTGTTTGTTTTAGCTGCCCAAGTTGAGTTATGGGCCATTTATGGTAGAAAATTAACTTCAGTCATATTTTTCCTCTCTTTAAAAAAATTGGTCAATGTTATAAATGAAATTTCATTAAATAATAAATTCTTCTTAAAATCAAAATAAATACCAATTTTTTCTATTAAACCTTTATATCATACTTACAAATTCTTCAAAAGTCCACAATTATACTAGCTTTATTTTAAAATATATTTGAAATTCTTTTTTCTGATAACACTAGATTTGTTTAATTTTTTGGAATAAAGATACTTTATGGTGTGTGTTACTAGTGTATCATAGAGATACTCTATTAATGGCAAATATTGTGAGTACTTAATAGCTAAAAAGGGCATTAGACAACCTAAACTATATTTTTTATAGAAAAGACAAGAAAATATATAAAGAGGAAAATTATAGGCATTTTATTGACTAAAATCAACATTTACATGTTAAATTTTAAAATAAATTTTAAAAAATATTTTGAAAAATATTTTGAAAATAGTGATTATAAAATTTAATTTCATAAAAAATTAACAACCTAAAATTACCAAAGAAGTATAGTAAAGAGATTAAAAATAGAATAGCATAGAATGTAATTTACATAAAATTTAAACCTCGCAAATACCTTGAAAAATTTTATAATGAATTTAAAAAATCAATTTGAAAAAAAAGTGAAAATTCAAGATAGCAAATATAAAATTAATTACATCAAAAAGTTAAGGAACTAAAACTACCAAAGAAATATGATAAAGACACTAAAAATAAAACAAAGTAGAAGATAATTTACATATAAAGTTTAAACCTTAGCAAAGTAGAGCATTTGTTCCCTCTTAGAGGTTCCTCAAGTCATAAACATAACAACAAAGGTAATAAAATACCTTAAAAACACAAGTTTAGATTTTCACATTTAAGGTTTCAAAAGTCTAAGAGTGAACATATGAATTAATATTTAAATTAAATTATATGATCACCCTTATCATCCTCTCTTCCTTATATCCTCTCAAGTTAACTTAAACTTGAATTAACAATGATCTCCTGAAGTGGATTAGGCACATCACCTCCACCACCATGCCTAACAAACTCGGCCGGGGTGAGAAAACTTCCATGACAAACACACACAATTTTCACATTCTTACGGCCTCTTCCATACTTGTAAAGAAAACCTTCAATTCTTTTTCCATTAGGCCCGCTTCCTTTGGTAGTAACACTTGGCATTTTATCAAGTGGGTTCCTCGCGGCCTTTGTTTTGTTTTGAGGTCCAGCAGAGTTCGAACCCTCAAAAAAGTTCAGAGTCTTTGTTTTGTTTTGAGATCCAACAAAATTAGCTAAATTCGAGTTTTCGGTATTCATTGGAGTTGTTCCTAATAAATTGTATAGATAACATACAGTGTCATATATCAAAGTTTTTAGTATCCATTGGAATTGTTCCTAATGAATTGTATAGATAAAAAATAGTCATATATCAAAGATGCCCTGGTGTAAAAAAAAAACTAATCATATAGATTTAACTATAAATGCCAGACTCTTATCAAAACTATTATTAACAAATCCAATCAATAGATCATAAACTTAAAATCAGGTTTTGATAATTAAAATCCAATTCTTAACACTAGATTTCTTCGTATACTTCAATAAACTATAAATAAAATGCAAAAATAGTTTTAAATAAGTGTAAAAGATAGATTTAACTATAAATACTAGAGTCTATCAAAAATATTATTAACAAATTCAATCAATAGATCTCAGAACTTAAAATCAGGTTTTGATAATTAAAATTCAATTCTTACACTAGATTTCTTCTTATTACTTAATAAATTGTAAATAAAATGCAAAAATAGTTTAATAAATACACATTCGAATTTAAATACTCTTATGTTAAAAATGAAAATTGAACCTAATGAAATTTTATGAAAAATCTCTTAATTAAATTTCAAACTCGTTGAATCCCATTAATCATGCATCTCAAAATTGTAATTTGAATGGAATTTTTTGTTGCTACAAATAAGTTAAAAAGTGAAATTATTTTTTTGTGTTCTCGAAAAGTAAAGTTCGTTGCAAAATTTTCGGTACATTTTTCCACTCAACACAAAAACGTAACCGTGTTGATTTAACAAACTGTTAAGATCAACATTAACACTAAATCTCATGTTAACTTCAATTAATCACACTTATAGATGTTTAATTATCCATAAACATGTTCATTTACATCCAAATTAATAATCAAAAACTAAGATTTTCATTAAATATATACGGTGTTCATTAACTATTAGCATAGATTTGAAAATTATATTTAATAATGTTGAAAATCATAAGTCATTGAATTGAAGGAATAGTTCATAAATGTTGACAGAGTCTTATAAGAAAACATGTCATTCGTTAAACACAAAAACATTTCAGAATCGCAGGAACATGTTCGATACGACACGACAAAGCATGATAAACCTTTGACAGTAAATAAAACCCAACCATGTGACATGAAACACTAAAATCCATTAACCAATGTTTCATATTTTTCTTTCAAAAAAAATAAAAATTTGACCTTTTTATCAATAAAAAAATAATTATGATCTCTAGATTCATATTATCATAATTGGAAGTTCATTCATGATAATTTTCAAAGTAATTAAAATAAAAACCAAAAAAATAAAAGTAAAATTTATTTACCTGACCTTGGTTGAACATCAGATAGAGAATTACCAGAAGAAGAACCGCCAGTTGAACCACCACTCGTCGGCGGTGAAATAGGAACCACTTGATCTATTTCCTTGATCAAGACCATTCCGCCAACACGACGAACCAACGAGGTTGATCGAACCAAACCATCAGCAGGAGCCCCTTGTTCCACTGGATTGTTATTGTTATTACTATTCTCACCACCAGCTTCAATTCCAGCACCCCTCTCTCTACTGCCAGAGCTTGAGCTTCTTTCTCTCGCAGCCCTGGATTGTCTCCTTTTCTCGTTCTTCCTTCTCCTGGCTTCCATTCGCCTCTGCGATTGCAATTCCTTTCTCCTTAACCATTCTTCTCGGCTCTCTCCCGGTCTCACCACCGGTAACGAACATGTTCTTATCAAATTTCCAGCACTAGCACCCACACCAGACCCATTAGCTGCTGCCAGAATCATAGATGATTCTGGTATTGATACGGCTCTTTTGATCTTTTTCGCATTTGGGTCAATCCCAAATCGACCGTTCGATGAAAGTCCAAGACTTAATTCATAGTTCTCTTCAGCACGGTCGAATTTTTCAGCATCAAACCGCGGTTGCTGCGGCTGAACATGCGTAACAGTTGGTACGGGCATAAGACAGCGGCGTCGACGCTGATTTTCAGCCTCTGCCGCTTCCACCGCCATGAACTTGTTGATGAGATCTGTTGTGTAACAGTTAGTCATTAAGATTGGTGTGGTTAAAATCTGATCCTGTGAGTGATATTTATCCCCATCTTCCACCAATGCCATGTGTGAGAAGAAGGTTTGGACAAAAAAATTGAAGTAGAGAAAACAAAAATTCAATCACACTGACACGTGAAGATGAAGAAAGAAACTTGTGAAATTGATTAACTGAATATGGTTCATGTTTTGATCAATGTTCATTTCAAGTGGGGATAAAATTTATGGCTACTTTGTTCAGTTGCTTGGTTTTGCAACAGCTGGAATGGAAAAATACACTCAATTTTTTGAAAAGTTTACAACTTGGAAAGTAAGATTTAGAGAGAGAAAACTTATTGTGAAATCTTAGTAGAATTTATGAACAAGGGTAAATATGAGATAAAAATTAACATATGGTAAGTTGTTGCAACCCAAATACTAGATTCCTTTGGTGTGAGAATAAACTATGGGCGATGCTTAGAAAAAAAATACTATAACCATATTAAAATCATAAAATTCCTTTTTAATAAAATAAATTAAAGTAAAAAGCAAAAAAAATATATTAATTTTAATTATAAAAAGAAATAAATATATTAATAAATAAATAATATAATTTATTTTATAATAACTCATATTTTATAATATGTAAAAAATATACTTTTTTTTAATAAGGAACTTTGTTTTGTAAAAGGTAATTTGTTTGTTACGATTTTTTGTCTCATATATATATATATATATATATATATATATATATATATATATATATATATATATATATATATATATATATATATATATATATATATATATATATATATATATATATATATATATATATATATATATATATATATATATATATATATATATATATATATATATATATATATAATTGAACATGAATGTTTTTTATAATATATTGTCAAACATTTAAGTTATTTAATTGATAATTAATAAAAGCATATAAATAATAAATATTTTAATTGATAATTAAGGAACTTTGTTTTCAAAGAAACTTTTAATATAATAAGATACTTTTTCAATAAGGAACTTTTTTATTTATTTTTCTTTCTAATTTGAAAATGAAATGTTTTTTATAATAAATTTAAAAAAATATTTTTTCACAAGATAATTAATACTTAATAAAAATATATAAATAATAATTTTTTTCATATTTTTTAATTTATAATATAAACAAATTAATTATATTAATAAATGCATATAAATAAATGTTATTGTTGATGGTAACTAGACACTCATTAACTAACTAACACATTTACAATATATATCTGTGGAGTTAAATGTATTTAAATCTAAATATGAAATAGAGATGCAATAAATATTTATAATTAATCTAAACTTAAATAATTAATTCAAATTTAAATAATAATTGATTATGTATTAAAATTGTAAATTTTAAATATTTTGGAATAATTATATATAAATAGATTAATTATCTAACACGAAAGTAAAAATAAATAAAAAAACATGTTGAAAGACTTTATAATAAGAGATTCTAAAATCTTACTTTATAATAAAACCTCATCAATTCATTCTAAAAATTGCTTAGTTGGTATAAAAAGTAATAAAAGAAAAAAAAGTCAAGAGTGAAGAGAAAGAAATGGAGAGAAGAAACGGTTTAAATGGGTATTCGAAAAGACAAGAATACCCTTGGTTGATAGTGTAACGACAGGTGGAGAGACATGGAAGTTAAAAAGTGAGACGTGGCGATTTGATAGCGTGATGAGTTGGCAAGTACGAGACAAGTGTTCCTATTTTTCTGTGCAGTAGCTTTGTTTGTGGGTGTTGGTTGTTACGTTGTGGGTTGTCTTTTTGTTTTCTAAGAATGAAAAAACGGATAGTTTTGCTGTTTTTGAGGATTGAGTGGGAAATTGTTGTGAGTTAGAATAACACGTGTCGTTTTGGATTGAGTCAATAGAGTAGAATACAAGTGAGGGAATGAGAGTGTGACACGTGTGTGAGAGGAGAAAGTGGTGGGTATCACAATTCACAAGGTTTTGATGTTTGTTTGGAATATATGAGAAAAAAATGGAAAAGTTAAGGAACAAGTTTTGACCAATTTATCACTTTTTTTTTTCAATTTATTATAAACTAGTAACACTTTTTCTATCATGAATTTTAAAATATCTCTCTTTTAAATATTTCTTTTATCGTACATATAGAAAGACTCTTAAAATATTTATTAATAAGAAAATATGAAAGTAACAAAGATAATAATTTAATTTTAATTATTTATTATTATAATTATTTTATGATTTTATTAAAAAAATTAAATTTAAATAAATTTAAAATTATCTTTTAAAACAATAAAGAATATGTTTTTTTATTCAAATAATTTTTATTATATAGTATTATTCTTGTTTTGAAGGGTCTTTAAATTCTTTTTTTTTTGAATTTATTTATATATAATTTTTTTAGATATAATTATTTTATTAAATAATAATATAAAATTAACTTTTTCTAAAAAATGTAAAACTATTTTATAATTTAGTAATAGTTAAAATATTAGTACATTAAATGAAATAATTCTAACTAAAAATGTTACAAAATAATTTAATATTATCTATTTTAAATAATTAATTTATAATAAAATAATTACTTTTTATAAAAGAAATAATCTTTTTCTATTTTTTAAAAAATATTTTCCTAAAAAAGATACCTTTTATCTTTTTTATTTCTAAATTAAAAAAGATATTTTTTTATTTTAGGAAAAAGATTACAACTTTTGTTTTTCAAGAAATTTTATTGTTTTAGAAAAAAACATATTTTCTAAATTATTTATTTATAGATTTTTTGTTAAACTTGTTTTCAAATATATATTTTTATATATTTAATTAAACAAATTGAACGGGTTTTTAAATTTAATTTAATAAACTGAATTATTTATAATTTATTATTTAATTCATTAATCATTTAAATAGTTTAAGTTTGTTTTTATATTTTGTGCAATTGTTTAGACGTACTTTTAACTAATTATATATTTGACCCCATTTTATAAGGGTCCAACGACACACTCTGATAAGGTAAAAACTCTAAGTAAAAAACATATTTGATTGATTGTAAGAAAGTTTGTGGGTATAATGTGTGAAAAATATTTTATATAGTAAAAAAATTTAAAATGAAATTTTTAGGGACGGGATTAGGTCAAGTGGTTAGGTTGAACCTGATTATTATGTCTTATTTAGGTCATATATGCTATAGTACACGCCTTGAAATATTTAAAGTCTTATTTTATTAATAAAGATCACTATATATGAAATTCTGGTATACCGATAACAATGTCTTAACACATGTTGAGAGAAAGATCTCTTCGTAACAACACTTGGATTGGATAATGAATACTGATATAATTTATATCAGAATAGAGTCATGACAGGTGTTCCAACATCTTATGTGACATGTCATATAAACAAGAAACAAAACTAAACAATGCAGAATGATAATAACACACAAATATGATGACCCAGTTTTGTGTACAACAACATCTATTATGAAGGCTACCAAACCATGAATAAAATCCACTATCAGCAGTATTAGTTCAAAGCTAAACTCCCATGTTTACAACTTCTCGCATAATCCCTATCCAATGACATTTTTACTTAGGTCCTCTCTAAATATGAGAAATCGACATCTCACTTCCTAAATCACCTCAGTGATATCTAACAATCATAAAGTTCAGCCAAGACTCTTGACTAACAAATGCACTTGGATTTGCATCAAAGCTTCATCTAAGAACAATAATCGACCCATGGCTTAAAAGCTTAAGAGAGAAAAACAATTACAACTCAACTAATAATCCTACTCTTCTATCAACATGATAGTCGAGAGGCTCACAAATAACACATATCAACTCTACTAGAGAGTGACACACAAACGAATCCCTAATAGATTACATCTCTACATTCACGGCTTACTTGCTTTTAGGTTAACAACCTTCTATTTATGACCCTTTACCCAACAGGATTTTGGGCTTCAAATCGCAGCATATCAGCTGCTACAAATCTGTAGAAACTTCTTCATAAAGATAGGTCTTCAATCAGGACTTTCCTAATTTATCTCCATAATTAGAAAGTCAATATTCTTCTTAATTTCATCTTGAATCTTTCAGACCTTAAAATCAGCATCACATAGGATAACATTATATTTCAGAATATTATGCACCTGTTAAAACTTAACCTGGTCCAAAGTCCAGCCCAACACAGTCACGATGTCGAATGACTCAACATAGGACATCTTATATGACATGTTGGTTCAGTTGATGAAACATCTCAACTCAACATGTTTCTTCATAAAATAAGACTTCTTGCTCAACATATTTTTCTCAACAAGTTAGAATGCCATATTTAACATACTGCTGCCATATTTGTTTTACTAAAATTAATGCCAATCACAAAAAACAGAGAACTAACAATCTTCTCCTTTGGAAAATTTTGGCTAAAACAAATGAACAATTACAAGTCAGATACAACCATCAACTTTAGTCTTCTGAAGCTACTAAACATAGCAACATGGAGGAACATCTCTTCATAATTTGAATGGTGTTTGAACACCATGTTCGACATGGCATCTTCTTTACAGCATTCTGAATGAGTTATATTACAACACAAAAACTCAATACCAAAAAACAACAACCTTAGGAGAAAGGAGTAGAAAGTCCTAAAGTCATTTGGTGTACATGAGGAAGAGGATAGCTTGCACTCCCCCTCAACACAAAACCTTCAGTTACTACTGCAGGATGACTCTTTCTCTTAGGGGCATAAGAGAACCATTAAACAACATAATAGAACCCATAATTGGCAGCTACCAGTCAACATGTTGCAAGGGGAAACTTAAGACCAAATCAACCACCACCCTCTGGTAAATCAGAAAACATGTCACAACTGTGTTCATAAATCAGATCACAAGTCACAAAATAGATCCAAACAGATATAGGATTGAACATCCTATCCAACATCTTTGTGAGATATCTGGAAAATCAAACTTGAAATTAAACAACTGAACAAACCCCGTCTCCCCCTTTTTAGCCAAAAATTGACAAATAAACCCATCACAAAACCATATCCAATAGG